AGAGACAGATGAAAAGTTGTGGTGATGATGAAGGTACTCGCAACAGTGATATTTCTTCACTGCCTTCATTTTCTATGAGTTCTCTCTTCTATGTTATAGAAAACAGCCTCTTTTGTGAAAATTAGCTAAGTGTGAGGATTCCCTATAATAGAAATCCTTACCTGGAATTTGGAATGCCTCTCTTTTTAAGCTTTAACCTCACTTCTGTAAAGCTGTGTTAAAAAACCATGTCTTTCATAAGACATGGTTTTTATTAAAAAGTACAATGTATCTATGCTTTTTAAGAAGAAAAAGAATGTTAGAAACAGTAACGGGATTTGGACTCATGTCTGTTGAAAGCAAGTGAATTCTGAGCAGAGAGGTGAGGAATTGCATCTCTAAGAATAGTGGAGAGAACTGTTTCATTTTCTTAACGTTGGGGAAATGGGAGATTTGTGAAGATTTTAAGTGTATTAACAGACTTTAATTAATTAATTAATTTTGAGACGGAGTCTCGCTTTGTTGCCCAGGCTGGAATGCAGTGGTGCGATCTCGGCTCACTGCAAGCTCCACCTCCTGGGTTCACACCATTCTCCTGCCTCAGCCTCCCCAGTAGCTGGGACTACAGGCGCCCACCACCATGCCCGGCTAATTTTTTTGTATTTTTTTAGGCCGGGCACGGTGCTTACGCCTGTAATCCCAGCATTTTGGGAGGCCGAGGTGGGTGGATCACGAGGTCAGGAGATAGAGACCATCCTGGCTAACACAATCAATCCCCGTCTCCACTAAAAATACAGACTTTAATGTTTTTAAATAAAAGAAAAGGATGAGCTCTCAAAACCTTTAACTTGGAGGAGATAGGAAAAACCAGGAGAGGTGAATTCTCCTAATTATGTCAACAGTCAAAATTGACTAGTGCTATCTTCCCTGCAGGCCACAGGCCAAACTGGCCTCTATGCACCTGAGTAGGAATGACAACATCTTTGAAAACGGAGTAGCTCTCAAAGAAAGTCAAAAGGAACTTCTTTGACTAGGGAAAAAAATTAACACAGTATGTGTTAAAAGGCTTTTGTCTTCTTTTCTTCTCTTTCGTTTCTTTTTTGTTTTGCTTTTTTCTTTCGTTTAACCCAAGGCTATGAAATGCTCTTGCTCTGTGTAAAAATTAACAGGGAGCTTTTTATTTTGTGTTTTTACAATATTTCCATCTCTAAGACTAGAGCTCTCTGGCTTTTGGCTAACAGCATGTCCAGATTTAAAGGCATCACAGGAAGAATGTCAATTTGCTCTAGAAGCAATTATACATACAGGATAGAAAAAGCCCAATTCCACTATGTAAGGACCACACATACTGTATGTTTGTTATATTATTTGATATCAAAGCAGAAGCAGAATCATCAAATTCTTCCCAAAACACACATGAATTGAAGATCTTGGCTAAGGAACTGCCACATCCAATTCAGGAATATCTGTTACAGCTCACAGATCTCAGTAATGCTGACATTACTGTTTTGCAGGAAAGGGATACTTTCATTGGCTACATAATGCACTATGATTTTCTTAACTCTCTTGTCATAATATAAAGGTTTATATTATCAACATAGGGCATTTAGATACCACATCACTAGAGTAATAGCTAGAAGAACTTGTTGACTTTTGTCACTAGGTGACCTCAAAATATTTAATCAAACATCAAGATGATTATCATAACTTCAGAGAGGTTAGTCTATCTTCTATAGACTAAGATAACTCTTCAGTTATCATCTCTGTTTCATTTTGCATCGTTATGATGTTGGTGTGATGACTTCCATTCATTTTTAGCATACTTACTGAGTGTCTCTACTCAGTGCCAAACACAAGTGTAAGGAATACAGAGCTAATCGGGACATGACCCTTAGGAAATATATTCTTGGGGTGGGAAAAGGGAGATAGAAAATGAGCTTCATAAACCAGGATGTTGTATGCGATATTTTATATAGCATATGTAAAGAAAAGAGTGGGGAAATAATTCAGCATATGATAGAGAAAAGAGGGTCAGGGAAGGTGAAATGTGAAGTCACTTTTAAATGGAAAGGGATAGTTTCTAGGGGAGGTTTGGGGATTGGGTCCTTCAGGAATAGGGAAGAGCATGGAAAAACCCTGAGAATATGAGAGACCAGAGTGCTGCAAACTGTCTGCTATTCCTAGAGCAGATCTGAGTATGAAGAAGGACCATGCCACGAAAGCTCTGCATACTATGACAAGAAGTTTGAACTTCATACCATGAGGTATATTTTTATATATTTCCCAAATACTCTGAAGATAAAATAATTAAAACAGTATGATGCTGATATAGCTATAGATAGATGAATGAATGAAACAGAATAGGAAATGGATAATCAAAATGGAAAATTAGAGGGTATATGTGTAGAAGTTTAATATGTGAAAAAGGCAGCATTGGCTGGGTGTGGTGGTTCACACCTGTAATCCTAGCACTTTGGGAGGCCGAGACAGGTGGATCACTTGAAGTCAGGAGTTTGAGATCAGCCTGGCCAACATGGTGAGGCCCTGTCTCTACTAAAAATACAATAATTAGCTGGGCGTGGTGGCGGGCACCTGTAATCCCAGCTACTTGGGAGGCTAACGCAGGAGAATTACTTGAACCCAGGAGGCGGAGGTTGCAGTGAGCCGAGATTGTGTCACTGCGCTGCAGCCTGTGCAATAGAGTGAGAGTTCATCTCAAAAAAAAAAAAGAAAAAAAAAAAACCCAAAAACAAAACAAAACAAAAAAAGGCAGCATTTCCAATTAGTGAGTAAAGGATAGATTTTTTTCAGCAGGTGGTGTTTGGACAATTGACTGACCATTTCAAAATGAAATTTAATTTCTGTATACCACACTGCACATTAAAAATTATCAGCTGGATTAAAAATTGTAATGTAAAAAACTACCAGAAGAAAATATTTATAATCTTGGGGCTAGAGAATTTTTTTTAATGCGACATCATTAGACATCAGGATGGAAAAGATAGATAATATAAAATTACAATCTTTAAAAATCACAAACTTCTGAAAGGTATAAGACACTATAGGTAAGACAAATGACAAGTTGGAAAAATTGTTTACAGTCTACATAATAGTCAAATGATTAGTATCTATAATACATAATAAGCACCTACAAATCAATTTTTTTAAAAATCTAATCTAAGAGAAATGGATAAAGGACACAAAATAGGCAATTCGCAAAAGAAATGATGCCTAATGATATGAAAGTATGCTCAATCCCTACAACATTCAAAGGAATGCACTTAGGACAGTTCTATTTTTCATTGGTCAGATGGTAAACGGGAGATACATATCAGTGACAGATATACCAAATAATGATTTATAATGTGTTTGAGAGTGTGTGAAGAAATAAGAAGTTTCAAATCTTAAGGGTATAAAATCAGTACATACTTTTTGGAAGGTAATTTGTCAACATCTCTCATATAAAACATGCATATCATTTGATCCTGCAAGTCCACAGCTAACAATGTACTTTATTGTACTAATATATTAAAACTATAAAAATATGTAAAAGTTATATAAATATATATGTCAATATATCAAAATATACTATATATTAAAATATATAAATAGATACAAATGCGCAAAGATAGTATGAAAATATTTATTGCACTATTGTTTATAATAGCAAGAATTTGGAAGCAGCCTAAAGGTCTACCATAGAGATTAATAAATTGCAACATATAGATAAAATAAATTACTATGTTGTTAAAGAGAATATACTGGCATGGAAAGATATCCATAATACAAGTTTAACTGAAATAAATGATTAGCAGAATAGTATTTATAGTGTAACCTGGCAAGACAAGTAGTGATCTACAGCAGTTAAGAGCATGGGTTTTAGGGTCAAGCAGACCTAGATTTGATTCCCAGCTCCACTACTCACCAGAAATGTGAAACTTACTAACTTCTCTGAGTCTTCTTTATCTGTCCAATTGGAATGGAACCCAACAGAACCTACATAATACAGTTGTAAGAAGATTCCCTACTACATAATGAAGCTAAATATATACTAGTTATTATTATTCCTGTTACATATTTGAAAGATTATTTTTTCAACAATTTTCTTATAAAAACAACTTCCAAAAGCAAATACAATATTCTTTGAAAAATTATACTGGATAGTTTAAATTTTTTTTTTTATTATACTTCAAATTCTAGGATACATGTGAGGAACGTGCAGGTTTGTAACATAGGTAGACACATGCCATGGTGGTTTACTGCACCCTCCAACCAGTCATCTACATTAGGTATTTCTCCTAATGCTATCCCTCCCCTAGTCCCTCACTTCCAATAGACATGTGCACACATATGTTTATTGGATACAGTTTTTAACTGAATCTAACACATTGAAGATAATTTTAGCCTATATAAACAAATATTCTATTTATTTGATCATTTAATAGATCAGATAATTAATTGGATGCATCGATTTTTTTTTTTTTTAAGACAGTCTTGCTGTCGCCCAGGCTATAGTGCAGTGGCGCAATCCTAACTCACTGCAACCTGCACCTCTCGGGCTCAAGCAATCCTCCCACCTAAGCCTCCCAAGTAGCTGGAACTACAGGTGTGAGCCACTGCTTCCAGCCTTGATGCATCAATTTTTGATACAGATCTGTTTTATTTGCATATTCATAAACTAGAGTGTGAATGCAGAATGAATTTGGACATTATATTACAGTACCAAAATAAAGAACTATTGAGTTTAGAGAGCCCCAGTTATAGAAACTTTAAACAACCCTAGTGGCATAAATTAAAAATTGTCCTCTAGTCATTAAACTACTTATTAATATCTTTTTGTGGTAGTTTCCATTATATAAACATTCAGTTTTCAATCACGTTATCAGGAAAAACATAACAAAGTAGAAAGTTACCCTTTTAAGTATTTTGCCCCTAGTAAGACTAGGAAAATAAACCATTCAAAATGAGAAAACATGTTAAGTAAAAACATATTAAAATGGCTATATGAAGAATATACATACCCTTCCATTTGGAAAATCATTTGAAAGCTGTCTACCAAGCTTTTGTAACTGTTTGGATCAGTTGCACATCTCTGAATCTGAAACCTAGAAGGAAAATCAAACCAAAAACTCTAAGTTAAAGATTTTGCCAAATGGCTTTTCTCATTTTTTAAAGTCTTAGAAACAGCTTTTCAGATTAATCTAGAACATTCTGCTTTGGTATGGATTTTATTCATTTATTAGCATTACATAATCTTCACCTTATTTTCATAGCCTTTAAAATTACATTTCTCTGTAATTTAATGAAATCTACAGAAAAAATGTATTTTTTTAAATTTTTTTTATTATTATACTTTAAGTTCTAGGGTACATGTGCATAACGTGCAGGTTTGTTACATATATATACTTGTGCCATGTTGGTGTGCTGCATCCATCAACTCGTCAGCACCCATCAACTCATCATTTACATCAGGTATAACTCCCAGTGCAATCCCTCCCCCACCCTCCCAATAATAGGCCCTGGTGTGTGATGTTCCCCCTCCCGAGTCCAAGTGATCACATTGTTCAGTTCCCACCTATGAGTGAGAACATGCAGTGTTTGGTTTTCTGTTCTTGCGATAGTTTGCTGAGAATGATGGTTTCCAGCTGCATCCAATGTCCCTACAAAGGACACAAACTCATCCTTTTTTATCGCTGCATAGTATTCCATGGTGTATATGTGCCACATTTTCTTAATCCAGTCTGTCACTGATGGACATTTGGGTTGATTCCAAGTCTTTGCTATTGTGAATAGTGCTGCAATAAACATACGTGTGCATGTGTCTTTATAGCAGCATGATTTATAATCCCTTGGGTATATACCCAGTAATGGGATGGCTGGGTCATATGGTACTTCTAGTTCTAGATCCTTGAGGAATCGCCACACTGCTTTCCACAATGGTTGAACTAGTTTACAGTCCCACCAACAGTGTAAAAGTGTTCCTATTTCTCCACATCCTCTCCAGCACCTGTCGTTTCCTGACTTTTTAATGATTGCCATTCTAACTGGTGTGACATGGTATCTCATTGTGGTTTTGATTTGCATTTCTCTGATGGCCAGTGATGACGAGCATTTTTTCATGTGTCTGTTGGCTGTGTGCATGTCTTCTTTTGAGAAATGTCTGTTCATATCCTTTGCCCACTTTTTGATGGGGTTGTTTGTTTTTTTCTTGTAAATTTGTTTGAGTTCTTTGTAGGTTCTGGATATTAGCCCTTTGTCAGATGAGTAGATTGCAAAAATTTTCTCCCATTCTGTAGGTTGCCTGTTCACTCTGATGGTAGTTTCTTTTGCTGTGTAGAAGCTCTTTAGTTTAATTAGATCCCATTTGTCAATTTTGGCTTTTGTTGCCATTGCTTTTGGTGTTTTAGACATGAAGTCCTTGCCCATGCCTATGTCCTGAATGGTATTACCTAGGTTTTCTTCTAGGGTTTTTATGGTATTAGGTCTAACATTTAAGTCTCTAATCCATCTTGAATTAATTTTCATATAAGGAGTAAGGAAAGGATCCAGTTTCAGCTTTCTACTTATGGCTAGCCAATTTTCCCAGCACCATTTATTAAATAGGGAATCCTTTCCCCATTTCTTGTTTTTCTCAGGTTTGTCAAAGATCAGATGGCTGTAGATGTGTGGTATTATTTCTGAGGACTCTGTTCCATTGGTCTATATCTCTGTTTTGGTACCAGTACTATGCTGTTTTGGTTACTGTAGCCTTGTAGTATAGTTTGAAGTCAGGTAGCATGATGCCTCCAGCTTTGTTCTTTTGACTTACGATTGTCTTGGCAATGCAGGGTCTTTTTTGGTTCCATATGAACTTTAAAGCAGTTTTTTCCAATTCTGTGAAGAAAGTCATTGGTAGCTTGATGGGGATGGCATTGAATCTATAAATTACCTTGGGCAGTATGGCCATTTTCAGGATATTGATTCTTCCTATCCATGAGCATGGTATGTTCTTCCATTTGTTTGTGTCCTCTTTTATTTCACTGAGCAGTGGTTTGTAGTTCTCCTTGAAGAGCATTCTTATACACCAGTAACAGACAGAGAGCCAAATCATGAATGAACTTCCATTCACAATTGCTTCAAAGACAATAAAATACCTAGGAATCCAACTTACAAGGGATGTAAAGGAAAAAATGTATTTACATCTATTTGTCAGCCAGGCAGATTTGCCCTGAGGCATTTAAGTTTTTCCTTTTGTGAAAAGCATACACAAATATTATAGATGTTTTAATGTAGAATTCAGAATTCTGAGTATACATATGAAACAATAGTGCTATTTCCTATCTTAATAAGTGTTCCTTGATGGCAATTTAGCACAAAGGTTAAAAATACAGAGTAGCCTGTCTAATATTCAGAATCTACAAGGAACTAAAACAAATTTACAAGAAAATACCAAACAACCCCATCAAAAAGTAGGCAAAGGATATGAACAGATACTTCTCAAAAGAAGACACTTATGCGGCCAACAAACATATGAAAAAATGCTCATCATCACTAGGCAATAGAGAAATGCAAATCAAAATCACAATGAGATACCATTTCACACTAGTTAGAATGGCAACTATTAAAAAGTCAGGAAACAACAGATGCTGGTGAGGATGTGGAGAAACAGGAACACTTTTACACTGTTGTGGGAGTGTAAATTAGTTCAACCATTGTGGAAGACAGTGTGGCAATTCCTCAAGGATCTAGAACTAGAAATACCATTTGACCCAGCCATCCCATTACCTGGTATATACCCAAATGATTAGAAATCCTTCTACTATAAAGACACATGCACATGTATGTTTATTGCAGCACTATTTACAATAGCAAAGACTTGGAACCAACCCAAATACCCATCAATGATAGACTGGATAAAGAAAATGTGGCACATATACACCATGGACTACTATGCAGCAACAAAAAAGAGTAAGTTCATGTCCTTTGCAAGGACATGGATGAAGCTGGAAGCCATCATTCTCAGCAAACTAACACAGGAACAGAAAACCAAATACAGCATGTTCTCACTCATAAGTGGGAATTGAACAGTGAGAACACATGGACACAGGGAGGAAAACATCACACACTGGGGCCTGTCGGGGGCCGTGGGGCAAGAGGAGGGAGAGCATTAGGACAACACCTAATGAATGTGGGGCTTAAAACCTGTAAGACGGGTTGATAGGTGCGGCAAACCACCATGGTGCACGTATACCTATGCAACAAATCTGCACATTCTGCACAGGTATCCCAGAACTTAATATTAAAAAAAAAAAATTACAGAGTAGCTAATAGGGCCTAACTTTGATCCTGATTGTAAATTTGGAATTCATTCTGGCAGGCAGGAGTCTGCATTTGAAGCAAGAGTTAGGGTTGTATATTGGGATTGTATTACTCTACAGTTTACTATCACTACTCCATGATGGAACAAGATTGATCATTCTGGGTAGTTCAGGCTACCTGGATCTTCAGAGAAGCATAGTGCCCTGCATATAATTAGAGCTCAATAAACATGTGCCCCATTTTTGAAAGTTAAATTCTTTTTTCTTCTTTTTGCATATGATCATGCATCTCTGAACTCTTAGCCCTCCAAATGTGGAAGTTTCCAGTACAAGGGTTTTATCTTTGTGTTTTGTATTTGCTCTGGAGTTTGTTTCTTAAGAGGTTTATAACAAGTACTCTCATTTCTCCCATACCTGAGTTCTCTATACTTTGGGTTCTTTAGCCTGCCTATTCCTTGTGCTTTACTTTATTGTTCCTGTTGTAAGTTAGGGCTCTTGTTCCTTCTGTGGGAGGGAATTCCCTCCACAATTTTACCTGCTTTTGAAAAAGAACTTTTCAAAAATACTTCTGATGTTATTTAGTTCAAAATGCTTTTCTTAGATTGTTGGCTTGATGATATGAACGCAACGTCTACTTCTAGGAATAATATATTTTATAGGTTCTAGGCCTCACAGAATTATGCTGCAAACTGACACATATCAGACAGAAGAATGAATGTACTGCTTTGACTGAAGTAGTTGGGCATATGGCCAGAGTGAGTGTGGTATAATACTGAAAAGCAAAGCAAGGCTGGAATTACATTTGGTTTTGTAAAGTGAAAAGTTGCTACATGTGTTTGTGAAGAAGTACTGAAGAGTACTGTGAAGAAGTTTGTGAACAGTACTGTTCAGAGATGTGGGAGTTCAGTCTTCCAGCAGAGTTCTTTGCAATACAAATCTCTAAATGAGTACCTATTGACCAATTGGATGGATTAGAATGGGAGTATGGCAGAGAGAACAATCAGGAAGGAGATACGATAGTCTGGGTGAGAAATAATGGTGCTAGAATAGAAATAAAGGCAACAGGAATATAATGAAAGGGGCAAGCTTGTTGGGTAGTCCTTTTTCTCCATAATTTTTTAAAATGACACATTTAACATATTCTCCTCTTTTTTTTTTTTTTTTTTGACAGGGTCTTGCTCTGTACCCAGGGTGGAGTGCAGTGGTGCGATCACAGCTCATTGCATCTTCGAACTCCTAAGCTCAAGCCCAAGGGATCTTCCCACTTCAGCCTCCTGAGCTGGGACTACAGGCATGCACCATCATGACTAGCTAATTTAAAAAAATTTTTTTGTAGAGGTGGCGTCTTCCCTTCTTGCCCAAGCTGGTATGGAACTTCTGGGCTCAAGCAATCCTCCCACCTCGGTCTCCCAAAGTGCTGGGATTGCACGCATGAGCCACTACCCCTAGACAACAAATTACTTTGAAACATACAGAGCAATTTCCAAAGTATGACTTTTGTTCAGTTCAAATAAGAATCTTCATTTCTGTATTTGCATATTTGTAACCTATATTCATTGTTGAGTATAAAATCCTTTCTTACATCTAGTGGGAAAAACCAAGACTCTAACTATTTTTTAAAAAAATTATTCAAAATAGTTTTATATATTATGAAAGTATTAGATAAGCATAGATGCTTTTCATAATATCTGTAATAAGCTTTAATTAAGTTCATTTATCTCAGTAAATTCCTGTCTAGATGTATTTTCCCAAATTACGAATTATTTTCTTAATGTGTGCCATATGATTTAAGATGCTACAGGTTTTAA